AAATTTCAGTTTTGAATTTAAAAGTAAATAATGCAATTAACTTTGGAGAATTTATGAAATACAATGATACTTCCTTATAGTATGTTATTCATGTGGATTGAATTTGCAAGGTTTTCATTTGCCTGAGTTGTCAATCTAACAAAACTTGGTAACTATTTGGAAATAAATATGTTAGTGTTCCAGAAGTCTGTGGATTATTATTACTATTTTTTTAAACAAAGGGCATTAAAAGCTGCTACTTAAGGTGCTTACCTCCTTTATTCAGGATAGGGAGAGGAGGGGAAAACCTTCTTAATCTTGATTTGGGAAATCTGTATTACCCCCTTTAGAATATGAATAGCTTTTTTCCCTTTTCTTTTCACCTTTTACTCCTTTGTGTGTGTGTGTGTGTGTGTGTGTGTGTGTAATTGAACTCAGGGGCACTTAACCACTGAGACACATCCCTAGCACCCCCTCCCAGGCCCTATTTCTGTATTTTATTTAGAGACAGGGTCTCACTGAGTTGCTTAGCACCTTGCTGTTGCTGAGGCTGCCTTTGAACCCTTGATCCTCCTGCCTCAGTCTCCTGAGCTGCTGAGATGAGAGGTCTGAGCCACCATTCCTGGTTCACATTTTGCTCTTTTAAGAAAGAGCTTAAATACTAAGTTTATGACTTGTGGGATTATTGTTACCTAAGTATTGTCTCAAATTTTATTTAGAACTTGAAAGTAAAGTTTCAAAAATATTTTTGTCATGGTAACTCCTAAAATAGTGCTTAATCTATCTTGGAAATTTTCTATTTCTGAATCTTTCCTTGGTATATAATAATGTAAATGTGAAACGATGTATTCATTTTAATGACTGATTATAATTAAGGAAGGGGGAATGTTGTTAATTTTACTGCTTTTTAAACTATCATATTTCATAAAATATTATCTGGTAGATGAACAGTCATAAATTTAAAAATAGCAAATAACATGTAAGCCAAAGTTTTGATAAAATCCAACTTTTAATTACATAGTTAATTATTTGTTAGTGAATTGGCTGAAATAAAGACCTAGGCTGGTTTTTCTTTGTCTTAGTGGTTAGCTGTACAAAACTAAATTTAATATTAATTGAATGCAAACAATCAAGAAAGGAAAGATGGCACATATTTTGACACTTGGGTAAGAATTATTCATTCATTTTTCTATCTGAAGATGATTTATCTTTTCAGGTTTTTTCCTTTCCATTGTCCTATAGATACATATTCAGTAATTACAAACAAAATCAGCATCTATAAAATAACTGAGATACATGCTATTAGAACATCACATGTTCAATCCCTAGCACCAAAAAAAAAAAAAATCACATAGCAGATTCCAAAAGTCAACAATTTGCTAATTACTGGTTTGAGATTATACTTGCTGTATTTGCTCTTATAATGAGTTCATGGTTGTCCTAGTTTTCTAATAATAATACAATATCACGGACTGAGTGCATTATAAAGAAAAGAGATTTATTTGGGTTCATAGTCCAGGTCCAAGGTCAAGGGGACATACCTGGTAATGGCTTTGCTGGCAGAGTACTGAGGTGGGATGGAGCAAAATATGTAAGAGGTCTGGGGCTGTAGCTCAGTGGCAGAGTGCTTGCCTAGCAGGTGTGAGGCACTGGGTTCAATCCTTAGCACGGCATAAAAAAACTAAACAAATAAAGGCATGCTGTCTATCTACAACTATAAAAAGATATGGAAGAAACAGGGAGCAAGCACATATTGTGTCTATGTTCAGGTCTCACAGCTTCCCTTTGTTTTTGTACCAGGGATTGAACCCAGGGGCTTTTAACCCCTCAGCCACATCCCAAGCTATTGGGATTACAGGTGTACATTACCACACCTGGCTTGCTCCCTCTTCTTATAAAGCCATCAGTATTCAATTGGGGGGGCTTTATTGTGATGACTTCATCTAATTTTAATAATTTTCCATAGGCCCCACCTCTAAGCACCATAGTAGGATAAAGTTTCTGCCCTCCTTAATACCTCACAATGGAGATTAAATTGCAACAAGAGTTTTGGAGGGGACAAACCACATCAAAATCTTAGCAATGGCATGATTACATAATTCTACAACAACTATATCATTTGCTATGCTCTGGGCAAGTTGTTTTAAAAATAATTGCTTTGTATATACTGCATTTTTAACAGTAAAATTTTCAATTTTTATGGTACTATTACAAAACTCTCTTCCCCTTTCAATTGTAGCACGTACAATTTACTTCCTAAGAAAGCAGGGGGAATTGTACCAGTTAAACATTGTAAATGAGAAAATGGGAGCAACAGTTTCATCCCTAGGTTGTCCTCACAGGGGATCATCAGGTCAAAAGGAGTAAACATATTTTTAGACTGCTTTATCAGAAGATTGAACCAATTTTCAGTACCACTCAAAACACATTCTTCAGCATTGCCTCAGTCCTGTGCCATCGTTAATTTTAATTAATTTGATTGTATTATTCCTTACAATTTTAACTACTTTTATAAGGTCCTTCGGGCATTTTTGTTATCAAAGATTTCTATTTCCTTTTTTTTTTTTTTTTAAAGTTGTCGGCGTTTCTAAGCATACAGCTTCTCTGTTAATCTTTGACTAATCACTAAATAGAGTTTGGGAACTGACATCTATTTCTATTATATCTTTATGAATTTCTTCCAACCTTTATAGCAAGTTCTGATTCTTCCTAAAAATGTATTTTAAAATTTATGTAGAATTTCCTTTGATCAGTTTTGACACTATTTCAATCATCATCAGAATATTTTTCCTCACCCAAATTCTCTTACACTGCTTCTTCATATTCTGACATTCCCTTACTCTGATCCTTAATCTCTATTAACTACTATTTGCTTTCTAATGAATGCTCTGGCACACAACCTTTTGAGTCTGGCTTATTCAGTTGTCATATTCCCTTTGGACTTAATCCTTGTGTTAATCAATAGTTTATTCCTTTTTATTGTTAAATAATATTCCACTGTATGGATATAGCTAAGTTTATTCACTAACCCCAAAAAAGACATTAGGATTGTTTGCAGTTTGGAATAGCTATGAATAATTATATTTCATAATGTAAAAATGTATTCTATAAACATTTGCATACAGATTTATATGTGAACATGTTTCGATTTTTGCATAAATACCTGGGTAGGAATGGAAAGCTGTGTATTATAATTGGTATATTTTTAACTTGTAAGAAACTACTTTGAACCATTTTCCAAAATGGTTGTGCCATTTTGCTTTCCTATTAGCTGAGTTCCGGTTGCTCCAAATCCTGATTCTTTTGCTTTCCTTTTGATATTTTATTATGTATATCTAAAAAACATTTAAACATCTTTTCATCTCTCATATCCTTTAAAAAAATCCACAAATGAATGTCCTGACACTAAAATATGCTAGTTTTTCTAATGATATTAAATATTAACTTAATACTTAATTTTTAAAAAAAAATTTTTGTAGTTGTTGATAGACCTTTATTTTATTTATTTATATGAGGTGCTGAGAATCAAACTCAGTGCCTCACACATGCCAGGCAAGTGCAATACCATTGAGCCACAGCCCCAACCCTTCCATTTAAAATTTATTGGATATTCAGTATGCAGAATAGTGTCAGGCTGTTTCTGTTCCATTTTGCCATCCATTTGTCCTAACAAGATGCTGTGTGGATTGCCCTACCTTTCTCCGTTTTTCAAATATTGGCATTTTCTGGCTCTGTCTTCTTCCTGTGTGGTTTTACATCTGTATTTGGAGTTTCTTTTCCTTTCTTTTTTTTTTTTTTTTTGGTATCAGGGATTGAACCCAGGGCGCTTAAACCAAGCCCCATTCCCAGCTTGTTCTATATTTTATTTAGAACAGGGTCTTGCTAAGTTGCTTAGAGCCTTGATAAGTTGTTGAGGATGGTTTTGAACTCCAGACCTTCCTGCCTCAGTCTCCTGAGCTGCTGGTGTCTACCATTGCACCCGGCTATATTTGGAGTTTCAACTGCCATGTCCTGTAAAGCCTTTGAGCTTTAAGCCTGGGAATTCTGTTGTCTATTGCACATCACTAGGAACTCAGCATATTTTTCAAAATCACCTCCTCTATTCCCTATCTTAGGCAGTGTGTGGCGCCATTTTCCCAATTGCTCAGGATAGAGATAAGGAAACTATCTAAAGGGCCAAAGGTTTTTCAAAATATTCATTTCTCCCCATTGTCATTACCTTAGGTTAGACAGAGACAGAGCATACTGTCTTGCTCAGAACACCCACTTCCAGCTGTTCACTGACCCAGGATGATTTTTTTTTCTTAATTGCAGATGGGCTGGGGATATAGCTCAGTTGGTAGAGTGCTTGCCTCGCATGCACAAAGCCATGGGTTCAATCCTCAGCACCACAAGTAAATAAATAAATAAATAGTAGATGGACACAATATCTTTTATTTATTTTTATGTGCTGCTGAGGATTGAACCCAGTGCCTTACCTGTGCTAGGCAAGCATTCTATCACTGAACAAGAACCCCAGCCCCCAGGGTGATCTTTCTTTTCTTTTTTTTTTTTTTCATTTTCCTCTGTTTATTTCAAGAGAACAAAGAATTAACCATCAAATTTTGTACAAAAACATGGTATCAGAGCTGTGGCAACCCTTATGCCAGCCCCTTCCCATGCCTGAGTCCAGAGCCCCCCTCATTTGTGAAAAAACAGGAAAAAAACAAAAACTCAAATTCTGGGGGGGGTTATTATGAAAAATCAGGGGAAACCTTCCTGGGCCCCCCTTCTTCCCTATCCCCAACCCAGGAACTTGGGTGGAGGCGCTGTGGTCCTGGCTACGGTGAGAAGTGGGGCAGGCAGTGGGCAGTTTAGTGTTTGGCAACCAGTGGGGCTGTGGGCAGAACCTGGAAAGGCCTGAGGGGCTCGAGGACGGGAAGAGACCCCTGGCCCGGCCTTGGCCCATAGTACACTTGAAAACAGTTTATAAAAATTGGGGCCAGAGAGTAGAAGAGAAAGGAGTCATGAGAATCAAAAACTAAATAGTGGAAAGATTTTTTATTTTTTCTTCTCTAAAAGGCAAAAAACTACAAACAGCCCAGGTCCTGAGCTCCCCAAGACTTGGGTCCTCCATTGCCCCCCACCCCAGCCCGGTAGGAGTGGGTATGGGGAGCAGGGAGAGATGGATTCTTTAAAAAGTCACCCCTGGACTGGAAGGCTCGTCTTCTGTCACCTTCCTCTGCCTCCCGACACTGCCAAGGAGAGGGCTGGTGAGGACCAGGGCTATGCCGGCAACCTTAGCTTCTTCCCCTTTAGGACTTTGGTGATACAGAGGTAGAAGAAATCGCAGTAGAGGACAGTCTGGACCAGGCCAGCCACGAAGGCGATGAGATCCAAGAAGCCCTCAAAGTGGTAGCGCCAGATCCAGTTGAAGAGATACAGGGTGCGGTAGACGCCCAGGGCAAACAGGTAGTGGCTCGTGATGGTCTCCGCCTCGCCAGTCTTGCTCACCATGAACAGTTGCGGCAAGATGGCCACCGACTCCAGGTAGATGGAGAAGGTCCAGAGGATATCCAGAGGAGTGAAGTCGTGGTTGACCAGGAATGCCAGGATGGCTGTGGGGACAACAAGGAACTCCACCCGGAACGTATCGTGGTTCCCATGGTAAGTGGCTTTGAACTTGCTGTAAATCATCCAGACCGTGGTGAAAGAGCAGGCTGTGTAGACCACCTTCATGCACGTGTTGTAAAGTGAGATGTAGTTAGTGAAGAGGTCCAGGTAGCGGGCAGTGAACACCACAGCAAACAGGACCTGGCTCTTCCCTGAAATCCCGGCACACGAGCGGGACTTCCAGATTTTAAGCAGTAGTAAGATGATGGCTAGGAGGTGGGAGAGGTCTCCCAGGAATCGGAAGAGATTCATGGCTGGGCGGGCTCTGGCAGGGCTGAGCTGGAGGGAGGGAGGCAGGCTGGTGGGGGCTGCCCCCCGGGGCTGCTGTTCTGGCGGCCGTTGGGCAGAGGGGCGGGGGTGGGACCCTCCGGTGGGCTCCACTCCGGGGAGGGGGTTCTATGAGGGGGAGCCGAGGCCGGAGCTGGCGGCCGAGCTCCAGGGTGATCTTTCAATATGCGAATCTGAGCTAGTGAAGTCCTAAAGGATCCAAGGTCTCATTGGCAGGGAACACAATAGCTTTTGATATTTGGTCTTTTATTCACAAACCTCTCCAGCTACTTCTTTTTTGCCCAATGTCTCAATTCAGAGGTCAGACTATCAGATTTTGAATTCTGACTCTCCCATATAGTAGTTTTTTTTACCTTATATAAGTAAAAAAGCCTCTCCATATTCAATTGTATTCAAAGCTATACGTTATATAAAAACGAAAACATTATGTCACTATAGGAACTTTGGCTCCTAAGCTTTTAAAATACTATAAAACAAATATCTCATGCTTTTATATAACCATATATCATGTTTCTGATTTACTTATACTCTAGAGTCAGACCACCTAGATATATGAATCTCAGCTCCAGCACTTATATTAATGATATTCTTTTTTAAAAAACATCAAATTGTATGCTTTATTTTTGTGTGATGCTGAGTTAAAGGCGAGTGACTCACCGGAGACGAAAATTCAACCAAGAGATTTTATTGGGTGGGGGGGCGGCTGCCCTAAGAAAAGGAGAGGAAGAGAGCAGCAGCCTGAGCCTCTCTCCTCAAGAGACAGAAACTTAAGTTCAGTGGGAGAAACCCGGAAGGGGGAAATGAAACCAAAAGGCAAGGTCTCCCACACACCCAACACTGAGGATCAAACCCAGCACTCTACTGAGCCACAACTCCAGCCCTACTGTATTCTCTTTGGCAAGTGACTTCTCTGCTTTTCCTATTTGTAAAATGAGAACAAGAGTATCTGCCTCATGGTAATTATTGTGAGGAATAAATGGATTAACATACCTATAAATGCTTCAAATGATGTTGGGCATCATTGTGTTAATTATTATTTGAACAACGGGGTAAATAAGTTCTTAATTTCCGACCTGTTTAGGTGCTCTTCTAATGAATCTTTTTTTTTTTTTAATATTTTTAGTTGTAAGATAGACACAATACCTTTATTTTATTATTTTATGTGGTGTTGAGGATCAAACCCAGTGCTTCACATGTGCTAGGCAAATGATCTACCACTGAGTTACAACCCAAGTCACACAATGAATTTTGAGCAAACCAGAGCGTCCTTTTATCATGGAAATTAGCACAATATATTAAAACTGTTTTTTTTTTCACTCATACCTTAAGATGATTGAAAGATATTTCTTTGCTTCAAGCACTCTGGCCTCTAAAAACACCTAGGGTTTGCCCCTTATCTTAGAACCTTTTCAGTCTGCCTACCACTCTCTCTCTCCAAATACCATACATGACTTCAAATTTCAAATATGCCCAGTCAAGTATTCTGACTTTGCATATGAACAGACATTAAATGATACTCATACCATCACAGATGGATTTTTGTTGAATGTTCTTTTCTGTATGCACTCAAACCAATTTCTTAGAACAGCAAAAACAATTTATATTTTTCCATTTTCACTTTGCTGAAATTATTTTTATTGAAAACATTTTTCTTCATAAATCATAAGGCTAAAAAATGATTCAATGATCAGCTTATGCAAATATCAAATTCTTCAGGTAATAGTTTTTGGCACTAAGTTCCTCAGGATCAAATTAAAATCTAAATTTTATTGATACAATTCTTCTATTAATTTGGTCAAGAACTGTGGAGGAAATTTTAATTTGTTGAATATTTCTATCAAGTCTATTTTTTTTTTGTAGTAGGGATTGAACTCAAGGCAAGGGTGCTTTTCCATTGAGCCACATCCACTGAGCCACACCCCCTTTTCATTTTTTGAGAAAGAATCTCACTAAGTTGCTTAGGACCTCACTAAATGCTGAAGCTGGCTTTGAACTTGCCATCCTCCTGCCTTAGCCTCTGGAGCCACTGGGATAATAGGCATTCGCCACCTCTCCCAGTGGTATACAATTTTTAATCTTACAGTTCTTCAGTTAAATTTATCTCTAATACATTTATTATATGCAGCATCAGCTATTCTGGTTTTATTTTTATAACTGAAATTCATTTATTGTTATTTGAATAAACAACTGTTTGAATTCATAACTTACCTAAACATGGAGAAAACTGTAATCCCCTCATGAGTTCTCGAGGACTGTCCTTGGGGGTCAAAACATCTTATATTTCTTTTCCCATTCAACTGTCATCACACACTTAACACCTGCTCATATCTCAGATGCCAAATCAAGCATCATTTATTTGCTCCAGGAAGACTCCGGATCCCTAAGACTAGAAAAGTTCCTCTCTGTGCTTAGATTGTACATTTTAATCTTCTTTTATTACAATTAGTATAGTGTACAATTATATATTTCCATAAATATTTATTGTTTCCCTCGATAAATTCCTGAAGGCAGAGACTTTATTTATTAGATCCCTGGTACAAATCCTTTTTTTTAAATCCTCAATACGTCTCACTAATACTAGGCATTCATTAAAGTGGTTTAGATCTCCCCATTATTGTTTTATTTCTGGATTGTTATAGCTTGACAGTTAAAGATCAATTTTTTTTTCTCTAATTTTGAAAAAAAAATTAGGTTGGGGGTTCCGGTGATTGAACTCAGGGGCATTCGGCCACTGAGCCACATCCCCAGCCTGATTTTGTATTTTATTTAGAGACAGGGTCTCACTGAGTTGCTTAGTGCCCTGCCATTACTGAGGCTATCTTTGAACTCTTGATCCTCCTGCCTCCACTGGGATTACAGGCGTGTGCTGCTGTGCCCAGCTAATTTTGAAAATTGATCCTGACATCTCCATATTGGGGATTGAGCACAGGGGTGCTCTACCACTGAGTTACATCACAGGATTTTTGTATTTTAGACAGGGTCACATTAAATTGCCCAGGCTGGCCTTGAACTTGCAAGCTGGGATTATAGGTGTGTGCCACAATGCCCAACTGGAAAGTTGATAGTTTCTAGCCTTTAAACAGTATATTATTTATTTAGCTCCTCATTTCTGATATCAGTAAATGAAACAACCAGATATTTGGTGATCTATTTCCTAATATAAAGCCAATATAAATGTCATTAAACCAACTCATAAAAATACACTATGGATTTAACAAACGTAACTACCAACATCCAGAGATTGTTATTAAAAATGAATGTCTGTACATATGTGTGCTTGTGTTATCAGTGGTATAATTATGCAAATTTAATATAAATCCATTGCTGGGTCTGGAATTATTTCACAGGAAAAAAAAAAAAAACTTTAAGAAAATATTCCCAGTCCCCAATACTTCTTAAGTTTTTAAGAGACACCCAAGTAATTATGATGCAAGAGGTTCAACAACAATACTTTAAGAAACACCTTATACTAGATACACCTTTTAGCAAAGACTTATAAACATATTGAGCAATGTTTATAGGCTACAGAAAAATGTTTTAAATAACAGTGGAATATGGTCCAAGTAGAAAATACATTTTCTTTATTCAAAGCATGTTGACTTTCATGTTTCACACAAAGCTGTACCAAAGCTACATTTTAATTTCATCATATTCCACTCCAAATTCTTTACCATTTACCAAAGATAACTTTTTTATAAAGCTTACTATTTTGTCTAATATTATACAGATTATCAATCTATATTTTTTTGTGTGTTTCTCTCAAAAATTAAAATAGCTTATAAGGATATAATATAAAACTAACTGGTATATTACACACCAAACATAAGTACAGATTCTGTACAATGTAACAGTATACATACATATTACAAGAGACTAATGCCTTGTTAAAAGTAATATTTTAAGAAATCTTTCATGGAAAAAAACTCTGCATTATAAAACGTGGCTTGAGTACCAGCTATTTTCCTTTCATGAGTTTCTTTCAGTGGGCATTAACTGTCCATTTAGCTTCATTAACAGTTTTACCACCAGACCAGCCTATAAAGTAAAACATATGTTAACAATAAATATCAAACAATCAAGAATGTTTAAAGAATACACACGGCAGTGGGCAGTTATCTACCTAACTTGAAAGGGAACTTTCTTATTAAGAGGTAGTCTCTCAAGAAGTTGAACTCAGGGAGAATTTACTCAGGCTTTTTGAAAAGATTTAAGAAGTGACTTGCTGAACACAACTAGTAGCTCAGGATAGGATACTAGAAGAGGAGGGAAGGACTATCTAAAACCTTGGTAGAAGAGACAGGGAATACTAATCAGAATTAAAAGAAATGGCACAATAAAGAGATTAATTGTCATAAATTTGAAATGAATTAGTTAAGTTTCTGGTTTTCTTTGCTTAGGAAAGGCCTTTCATTTTTCCCTTAAAATTTCATCTAATATTAGAAGTTTTTCTTTAAAAAGGATTATGGATTATGTCACTTAAAAATAACTTTACTAGTATAACTGTTTAGTCCAAAATAATTGATAAATACTTACCTGTTTTGTATGTACAATAAAGCTCATTTTATTCTCCATACTATGGATCTGAAAACAGGTATCAGCATCTCCCAATTGCCACATAAAACAACCATACTTAAGACTGATGAGTAAAGCCTGCAAAATAATCAAGAATCATTGTATTAATTAAAATACATATTAAAAACAACTATCTTCCCTTACTGTCCACACTTATCTAGTAAGTTCTAAACATTATGGTTTTGAGTATGATCATATAATCCATTAGAATGCCACACTAACCTCACACAACCTGTGGCACAGAACCTGGATGAGCAATGATATTCTTTTAATGATGTCCAACTTAGGGCTGGGGCTGTATCTCAGTGGCAGAGTGCTTGCCTAGCATGTCCAAGGCACTGAACATCATATATAAATAAAATAAAGTCATGCTGTCCATCTACAACTACAAAAAAATGTAAAAAAAAAAATTATAAAAAAAGATGCCCAACTCATTAGTGACTTTCAAAATAATGAAATGTACTGCAAACTTTTTTTCCCCTGCAGTTAAGAACAGCCTCTTTAATTTACTCAGTACTTTTCTTTTAAAACAACCAATTCCAATCAAACATGGTATTAATTTACTTGAGTGTATATTATATATAGTTTAAAAAAAATCTTGTTTTAAAATCTTCTTTTAAATATTCACATGGTACTTTCAAATCTGAAATTTATGCAACAGGGGAAACAGGATGACTTAGGCAATTTTTACGCCACTAAAATAAGGACACAGACATATGTATTGTAAAAATAAGCATAATTATAAAAATTAGTAATCAATCTTTCATAAATTTAACAGAACTATTTAAAACATCAATATTACAGTAATCCATTCTTTGATTTTTCTTAACAATGCTGTATTTAGTAGGTACACAGAAAGTATTTGTGCTATACTTTAAAATACATATGTTTAGGCCAGGTGTAGCACATGCCTGTAACCTCAGGAACTTGTGAGGTTGAGGCAGGAAGATTCCAAGTTCCAGGTTAGGCTCAGCAATTTTGTGAGACCCTGTCTCAAAATAAAATATAAAAGGCTGGGGGCATGGCTCAAAGTTAGAGGGTCTCAGATTTCAATCCCCAGTATCAAATCTATATGTATATATGTATGAATGGTTAGGAACATTAGCAATCTATGAGTAACAATTCTTAGAATATTGACTATAAATAATAAACTAAGCATATACCAAAAAGATAATTGTTTGGGGCACTTTAAAAAAATATTTTTAGTTGTAGATGGACACAATACCTTTATTTTGTTTATTTAGGTTTTTTTTTTTTTTTTTTTAATGTGGTGCTGAGAATCAAACCCAGTGCCTCATGCATGCTAGGCAAGTACTCTACTGCTGAGCCACAACTCGAGTCCAGTTTGGGGCACTTTTAAAGTAAGGTTATGTAAATAAAACATGGTATAAATTTACATGAGTATATATTATATATAGTTTTAAAAAAGCCATCCACATCATATTGCAAACTTTACAGACAGAATATGCTAAAATACTACTTACCAACATACAGACTGAAACGCTTATTCAAGATATAATACCTTAAACCAACTATCTTTTACATTACTTGAAATCTCTTAAGCTAAAGCCAAAAAAATGGTCCATTAAAATGGCCTCAAAACAGTTTAATACGCAGAAAAAAAAAAAAAACCCTGTGGTACAGCAACTTT